CTCCTGAATCCGAGGTTCGACTATCGGTCGAATTCTCCTCTCCAGTACCCTGGCATAGACTTTCCCGGAGAGGCTGAGGAGTGTGATCCCCCTATAGTTGGAACACAACCTCCGGTCCCCCTTCTTAAAAAGAGGGACCACCAGTCCAGAGGCACTGTCCCCGACCGCCATGCGACGTTGCAGAGGCGTGTCACTCAAGACAGCCCAACAACATCCAGAGACTTAAGGTACTCAGGGCGGACTTAAGGCCCTGAATATATTTCTGAATTACTACTGTATCTCTAAACAGTATTATGAAGTGTCAAGATGAGCTGACCTGTATCTGAAACCGCTTTATGAATTCAGTTTTACTTACCGTCCTTTGCCCTTCTTGTCTCTTGTCCTGTTTCCTCCTCCCCTCAGCTTAGATGTAAGGTGTCAGTGTTGCGGTCACTTTGCCATCGACACACAGAGAAACTGTCAGCATTCAGAGCCGTCTACCCCGACGTCGTTCAGACACACTTCCCTCCCTTGTACAAGGAGCTGTTTGCTGCCGACCTCGAACTGACTCTGCAGACTGACAACTAATAGGCGCCACACACTCCACCGAGCTGCAAAGCTCAGAGGGGGCAGAGCCCGGCTTGTGCAGCGGCACAGGACGGGACAACAACTCATCAAGCCAAAGGCAAACAGCGACACGGCTGCAGCGCCTCTCCTGGACAGCTGGGGTATGCACAAACCCAGAAACGTAAACTCTTCTTCTCGTCAGTCAGTGTTTCTTCAGCTTCTCCTTGCCGGGCTCTGGGTTTGGATGCAGCGAGGTGCCGGGTGATTTTTCTCCACCTGCATTAACACATATCTTGTGTCCAGGCTCTCGGTTCTGCTCTGAAATTAAAAGGCACTTTTGATTGTTTACACAAAAACTTGGTTTGTTTTTGCTTCATTAGATTATCAAGATCTTCACTTACTGCACTTCTGAACGCCCAGTCACACCAAAACATGGCACCTCCAAAGGTTTACCTGGAGGCTTGGTGACACTGATGACTAGCAGCTGGTGAGCTGCTCTGGCTAGTGAAGCAACAGGCCTAGAGGGCACAGGCCCTAGAGACTTATGACGACCACAAGGAGACTCGGAAAACCACAGAACAACTATAAACTGTTTGGTTCTCTTGCCCCAGTGTCAGGGGCTATAACATGTTAGTGCCCAGGTCCCTGCTGTTTCGTAATCCATGCATGTAACTGGTAACATATAAACTGGTCCATCCCAGCCAGAGCAGCTCGCCAAGCTAGCTGGTTGACTAATCAAACCAAATGAACCAAGCTTTGGTGGAGCAGTTCCACTGTCATAAACCAGGAAGGTGCAGCTAATGCGATAACTCCATTCTGAACTTGACCAGCAGTGAAAACACGATTCATGTTGGTGTGACCAAACCACCTCTCCACCGTGGTTTTGTACCTCTCTGAACAACTTGGTTTTCTTGAGTTTTAATTAAATTTAAGGACACATCAGAGACAGAATCTGTTCTGTATCATCTCTTGCCTGCTCTTCAGTGGAACTACACTATTTACACAAAGTGAAATATTCAAAGTCAAGGTTTGTTTTTACATCTGCACCATTTGTCAAACAGTAACACATTTGATTTGGATAAGGTCTCGGCTCAAATTCAAAATAAAATTTTGGGTTTTGAATAATTTTTTTAAAGTTTTGAGCTTGAATTTTCTGCAGCATCAACAGCTGACTCTCTTTTTGGGCAGGTTTACTTTTACACCACTGGCAGGAGCCAACGGCTGTAAAAACTCTTTCATCAGATTTGAAAACATGTTTGCTGGGTCAAATGTTACTGACGATTTGTTACCCGAGTTGTCTTCTTGAGATTTTCAGCAACACTGACTTGGTCAGAGATGGTGAAGGAAGATGGTTTTTCTCTGTGGTTTTCCTGTGGAACAGCAGAAAACAACAGGAAAGATGAACAACTGGTCTGACAAGTGCAGAAGGTTAACATGCACAAACACAGTGACTAATCCAAAACATACCAGCATGATGGTCTCTGACCAGAATCCCATTTAACAGCACAGGATGGAGTCTTCTGCACTGGCCACCGAGGCTCATGGGTACTGGAGTCATCATGTGAAGTCAGTAACATTAAGACACTTCAGAAGTTACAAATGTGAATTTATTCACAGATGGGGATTGACAAATTGGAAATTCACACAGTCTGTTTTAAGATTCCTTAGAATTCATGAAGCTCCTTTAGACTCCAGGCAGTTTTATTCTTTCACTCCCATCTTCCTACAGGCTGAGTGGAACTAAATGCGTCCTTGACTTGATTTTTATACTCCAAGTGGTCCTTATACAGACACTAGGAATCCTTTTCTGGATTAAAGGCTGCTCGTTTTCATCCGGGGGATTTGTTGGGTTTTCCCTATGTAATAATATTGATAACAGTAAGGTCTAGACCTTACTTTGTAAAGTGTCCTGAGATGACTTTTGTTGTGATTTGGCACTATACAAATTTGATTTGATTTGATGATTCATGGTACTCACCCCAGGTGTAATGGACTGGACTGTGTGATGTCACTGCTTCTCCTGCTGCCTCTCCTCTTCCTCTGTCTGATGCTGCTGTGCTCTGTGACAACTGTAGCAACACCTGCAGTTTGCATGTAGCACCATCTGGTGGAGCTAACATGGCCATGCGGGTTCACATGTTTGTCAGTCTCTCTGCAGCCTTTCTTTATTGGCATTTAATTTAAGGGACAGCACACAAGAAACACTAGTGTGCTGCAACAGACCTGAGAATACTTGTCAGCTGTCGTCTCTGGAGAGATGTTACCAAGTTACCCTGAAACATAATATAGGAATAAAATGAGTGTTACTGACAGAATTTATAAACATGCAGAGCAATAGAAAAGAACCCACTAACAGGACCCTATTAAACTACATGTCTATAAAAGACACAAAAGGCATATAATACATTATGCATGCAGAAATAAAATAGACAAATATGGACTAAATAAGACAAGCTCATGAACTACAGGACTTCACAGGAGTGGGGAACATTCATGCAGTTGTGTTATGTTCCTTTATTTCATTTTCATGTGTTACAGGAGAATTTAAGCAGAGCCTGTTAACTAAAGCACAATCAGAACACTTCAGTCTGGAAGAACTGTAGAGGAACAAGACACCAGATCCACACAGTAGAATGTCTAATTAATGTGGATGAGCTGTTGAGCTGGAAATGATTCTACATGCCGAGATTACTGAGACTGATTCAACTATGCAGACAGGCAAATGGACTATTGGGCTTCTCAGGCCTGATACTGATCAGCAGTTGCTTTCCTGTTCTCAGCCAACAGAGGCTGTCTGAGCAGAGAGGGCAGGAAGATGCTGCTTTTCAGTCACTAGTTAAGGACACTCGAGCTATTTATTATTGCATAGCCATAAAAGAACACAAGAGTCCATCCACTTATTCCTGAATAGGGTTGCGGGGGGCTGACATTGGGCAAGAGGCGGGCACAGGTCACCAACCTATCATGGCTGACAATGTGGACCACCCACCCACACACACACAGGCCATTCAACCTAAGCTGCATGTCTTTGGGCTGTGGGAGGAAGCTGGAGTACACAGAGAGAACCCATGCAGGCACAGGGAGAACATGCACAACCCGGGCTCTAACACAGAACCTTCTTGCTGTGAGGTGACAGCGCTAACCGCTGCTCCACTGTGCCGCCCCTATACATGCATTTAAGGTCATAACACTGCCACAGTGGAGACCAGTGATGGCTTGCCTGACACAGGAATCAAACCCCGGGCTCCCGCATCAGTCATGCATTTTGTCTCCCGCCCAACCCACAAGAGTGTCACTTTCGGCTTTTCCTGTTTAGGGGTCGCCGCAGCGAATTGTCAGCGGATGGTGTAACTGCTCATCAGTCACAACAGTGGACAGTCCTGGAAAACACCATAGGCAGCTACATAGTGAAACTACTATAAACCCCAACATCCAAGATGGCTGACCGCGTCAGGCATATGAGGCACCTCAGGAACATCTGCCCAGTCCTTCCACAGAACACAAACAACTATTACAGTATTGTTATACTCATCAAATACTAATTGTGTACAAGCATTGATGCATTACTAGTTACAGTTCAGCTACCAACCAAGTTGTACCAAAGCTTTGCAGATGTTGAAACACCGTCTGTCCCGACAGTAAATCTGTTCATATTTGTTATGTTTGCAACTACATATTTTCTGATCATTAAGTCTGTTGTGTGACGACTAGCATTTATCATTCTAGCCTTGAAATCAGGTTTGGCCCTGGAAAGCACTCGCCCCAGCTCACTGACAACAGAAAAACAATGCTACCGTGTCTCGTGGCTGCGCCGGTTTTCATAGTAGACAAACAAGGAACTGATGTACATTTCAAGAACAGTAATTATGACGCGTCAATCAGGTTTTTCACAGCCAACAGCAGTACATGTTAAAATATCTATAAAAATATTTTACAGAAATCAATGGCTTATTTTATATTTAGGTTTCACACAACACATTGTTCAAGAGTGACATAGTAGTGAGTCCTAAAACCGGGAACTAAGTTAGTTTTGCACTTCCGATTCCCTCACCCTGAAGTCTATGGGTTTTTTTTAATGGGTGTTTGGTTAGATTCCTGAAATAAGGTTTTACACAAGGTCAAGAGATTTTTACGTTTTATTCTGCAATATAAAATACACCAGAAAATACCCCACTCATGATTTTTAATGCTTTTACGTGTCTTAGAAAAGGTGGTTGCTAACAAGTGGCTAAATAAGACAACAGAGCCTGTCGGGACATTAACCATCATCACTTCCAACTCAGACCCCACCTACTCACTAGTCTGCCTTTTCAGTCTTGTTATGTTTAAACTTGTGCACTTGCAAACTACTCTAGCTCAAACTTGCCATCTTGTAGATGAGGATGATCACTGAATCAGGTCACGCTAAGATGAAAGGATTTTGTAGAAGAGCAAAGCGCTATAAATCCAATCACAAGTTGTAGGCCGTGGTGGTGGTGTTGAAGTCATGGGACCGTGGTGTAGTTCATTTACTGTATACCCCAACAATAGCTGTTTACTTCTGCTGATCGTATTTGGGCTTCAAAAATCAAAGCTGGTGTTCACTTGTGATAATTACCTTGTTGAACAAATCATGTAAGGGTCAAACTGCTGTTTGTCAGAGAGTTTATTTTCCACAATAATCCAAAAGCCTACAGCAAATTCCCACTGGCTTTTTGTCCAGGGAACCATTGCGACGCTAACTTCAGGGCTGGTATGTCATCCCTATGCCACTCTATTGCAAATTACGTAACATTGAACAGTTAAATGCATGCTGTACATCACATGAGGAATGAATACAAATCCTGACTTGGGCTTTCATAAGTCATGGATGAAAGGGTTAAACTTTAAAGCTCAAAATACTGCTCTGTAGTACTAGTTATTCATTGTTAACAGTAACTGGTGATTTTAGTAACTCATTCTTTAGACGTTCCAGAATCAGCAAACATCAGGATAGTATTTCAACAGTAAACCGGTTTGGAGTCATTTAATCAATGCATCTTAACTGCTGTTTTTAAACCACATCCGATCCAGAGTTCAATAAAAAATATATATACATTAAAAAAAAAAAAAAAAAAAAAAATTTTGGAAACAAAAAACTAGCCATAATAGAATGTCAAGCAATAATGTAATTGTATTTTTATCTTTGTGTTTGAAAACATTGCATGTTAATGCAGACTCTAATTTACACAATTTAGTTTGAGGGGTTCCTTCTGGATCCTGTGTGTTACTGGTTGTTTAGTCTGCCAGTCGTGTAATCACATATGTTGATGACACACTTTTCTCCTTCCGTGACCCATTACTGGTTTGACTTGTTCTGTAAGTAACATTAATAAGTCCGTACAGGTCACAGGAAAATATTGCTACAGATGCCTGCTGGGTGCCAGACATTTCATCTGTTTATTGATATGCATCATAATGTATAATACCTGGTTTGAATTGCACTTCTCTTGTTTAGATTTAGTTTAGTTGTTGAGAGCAACATCTTTGTTTTTACAATGTGTGTGGTGCTAGCTGTAGCTTTACCAACTACACCACATTGTTTTCTCACAGGGTAATACATTAAAGGAAAATCAAGTTTAACAACATAACATTAACAACAATTTTCTGAATTTTGACTGTCATACCCTAAAAACCTTTACCAATTGTTCCAAGCCTGTTTTTCATGGATTTTCAGACAGCTTAGGTGCTTTTGTTGGGGGGTTAAAATTGTGAAGGAAATATTTTTTATATTTAAAACATTATTGTACCATCAATAAATTACAGTGGGTACGGAAAGTATTCAGACCCCCTTAAATTTTTCACTCTTTGTTATATTGCAGCCATATCCTCCTTGCAGATCCTCTCCAGTTCTGTCAGGTTGGATGGTAAACGTTGGTGGACAGCCATTTTCAGGTCTCTCCAGAGATGCTCAATTGGGTTTAAGTCAGGGCTCTGGCTGGGCCATTCAAGAACAGTCACGGAGTTGTTGTGAAGCCACTCCTTCGTTATTTTAGCTGTGTGCTTAGGGCCATTGTCTTGTTGGAAGGTGAACCTTCAGCTCAGTCTGAGGTCCTGAGCACTCTGGAGAAGGTTTTCGTCCAG